ATAATAATCAATCATCAAAGAGTTTTTCTCTTCTTTTTTTTATTACCGATAGTGATAATTAATAATTAATGTTCGGATAATTTATGATACAGAATACATTCAGAAGAGGTTTTTAATAGGTGAGATCATGAGTCAATTGAAACTAGACTACCATGGGAAATCAGGAAGCATTGGACGGTACAAGGATCCTCATCAATGCATACCGGCGATCCCGCCGCGCGAGATTCGAATCCAGGACTTATCGGTTTCGTGCGCGAGCGCTTAACCTCTAGACCACTGAGTGGGCATCCGACGGTATTAATGTATAACTTCAACCAGTCCACGAAATTGAGCAACACATCCACCATTGTCTTCAGTGAATTATTATCTCACAACAGACTCGGTTGAACTCCACTGGTCACTGTTTCTCACTTGAACTTCAGGAAATACCTCTTTGGAAGAGTCTCAATATAAAAAGAAACAGCCATCCAGTGTTTCCAAATTTTCCATGATGGTCTAGCTTCAATTGACTCATGATCTCAATCTGATATGTTGTCACTTTTACATACTATTTAAGATTCACAAACTATGAAAATATAAGTCTTCACTATTCTCTAGTTTATGTGGAAGACTACTTTTAAACTCATAAAAACCTCTTGAGTAATTCATGAAATGCTATTAGTTATTTATTAAGGTAATTCACTAATCAAATGAGTTCTTATCGATTGTGTCAACCTTTACAATAAGGATTATAAAGATTAAAACGATAATGTAACACATTGATATTCTCCTATATTCAATAATGATGGGTTCACCAATTTCTGATTCATAATTTGGCCACCACACTAAATCATCAAGATGAACATTGGTGAAATTTTTTTCGGTCACTAATATTTGGGACAATAATTGAATGGACTACAAAGTAGTGAAACTATACTAAACATTAGAACTTCCATAAGATAATTGAAACTGTTTTGTTCATCAACTAATATATACTACTGAAATACTCCTTTTATTAAAGAATTATTTACTTATAGTTACACTTATAAAATGTATATTTATTATTAGAAAAGAAATTGATATACAGAATAAAAGAAAGTACAATCAAGATAAATACCATATGATTAATAATCGTATCATCTTTGAAAAGAAAATAACAATACATAACAATCCTAATGAAAAGGTCATCTTTAATAATACTGCCGACAAATGATAGACAGTTACTCCTCTCTAACTCTATAACTAGACACAAATTCTTGTCTACATTTGTGAATGTGTATGTATATGATAGAGAGAGAGAGAGATGGAGAGATTAATATGCCGTAGATTCATGTTATCTATTGAAGTTTGCTATTATCACTATTATTATTATTATGATGATGATGATAATGATCAGTTAAAATATTAACAACAATGTACAAATCGTTCGATGGACTGTTTTCTTCAATTTGTTACTTGTTCACTAACTCACTGATATTCATTCATTCATTTATTTATTCCGCCTAATTGTCATTTTATCGTCCGGTATTATTTATCAAAATAAAAGTTGAAAGAAAGAAAACAATAGTGAACAAAACAAAACAAAACAAAAGATCATCAAACAGTTTTCTATACACTACACTTTTATTTTTAAATCACCTGCTCCCCCCCCCATTTGAAAAATGTTTTATTTTTGTTTAGTCGAGTACAAAAGAAAATACCGTCATATATTTTCTTTTTTGATCTTGTTATCATATCCATTCTTACTTTTAGTTATCTTTTATTCCGTTCATTATCAATATCATTAAAATACTTTAAGGCACCCACTATTAGCTAATACACATACACACATAGATAGACAAATTGACATGGATGATTATTACCATTGAAGATACATAGAAATAAGTATCTATGTATATAGGTATAATATTGACAATTAAAGTAGTATGTTATACCAATAATATTTTTTGCGCCCTATTTGATCTAATTATATTATATTATTCCTGTTTATTTGTTGATTATTGTTAGTTTCATCAAAAGAGGAATACAAAAGACGCTATTATATGAATAGTATGTGGATTGGTCGACTGATTACTATCAGTAAACTAGAAGAAAGAAAACATATACTGTTGTAGAAGAAGAAGAAGAAAGAAAGAAAGAACAATCTTGAAAGATGAAAGTGTTCCGACAATTTTTTTTTTGAAATTTCCTTTCAGAATATTCATTTATTTACATCAAACCTATCAATCAATACTAATCAAATCGATATGATATGATTGATTGATTAATCATTGAATGAATATAAATGATCATCAATAGTTATTTACATAGATAATAAGTATTAAATAAACAGTGTTAACTACCAATTATTATCAGTATGGGATTGTGGAGATTATCAAGTTTTTGATTAAGATCATGAATCGATTAACGTTAGATCATCATCGAAAACCTGAAAGCACTGAACAGTCGTTTCGTCCTAATATAAGACTATGAATTATTGTAAATATTCAAAATGAATTCAATTCATGAAAATGTTGTTATTTCATATAGTTTGTTATTCATCGGATGTATTCTACTCGTACATGAATATGGAGTCGATCAAATCAGAAGTTAGGGAATAGTATATTGATAACATTAAATGAAAAAAAAGGGAATATATTTATTGCTAATGCGTCTTAACTAAATTCCTATCAACAGCCTCCAAGTACTTAACAATACATCATAAATTTTATAAATTTGTGAATATGAGTAAGTGAATATTAACCTAATTGTCTGAATGGTGTCATGTTCACCAAGTATATAGTTGTCAATATACATTATTAAATGGTTTCAAATCAAAGATCAACTAGGTATTCCGTGTTTTGTTAGTCGGTCATAAACGATGTAGAGACTAATACAAACGTGAGTTAACCCAACTTTGCCTATCACATCAATACAACGAGATGTAACTAATAAGATGAATACCAAAGGAAACTAAATAATCTTATTAATGATCATAATGAAAAAGACTAGTCATTATGATTTTTGATTAAGATCATGAACGGATTGATGTTAGACCACCACAACTGAAAACCTGGAAATGCTGGATGGCCGATTCGTCCTATTGTAGGACTCCTCAGCAGTGCGCATCCACAATCCCGCTCGCGGGGTTCGAACCCAGAGCCCTCAGTTTCGCGCGCGAATGCTTAACCTACTGGACCACTGAGCCGGCACCCAATGGTATTAATATCTATATTGATAATCATTATGAGTCCATTTTGAAGAAACTAAATGAAAGGAAACACTTTGTTAAAGAAAAATAAAGAGCACATCCATTTGCATTATTTTCTGATCAGTTCTACATCATATCTGAACCATATCTCCAAACAATGATTGTAATCATCACACTAATTCCAAATAAATAGTATCCTTCACTTATCAACATAACTCCCTACTTTGTAACAGTTTTCCATTTAACAACCGTTTACAATTTTAAAAAACTAAATTATCCAGTCTGATAATTAAACTAGTGTAATCTTATAAATCACTTGCAAACTGTTAAAATGTTTAAGAAAACTTTCATGTGACAGCCTTAGAAGAAGGAATATAAGAGTATAGGCTAGGTGTTTAAGAACTCCTAACTAACTTACAAACAAGTGTCTTATTAATTCATGTAAGATGAACATATACTTAGCGAATCACTTCACAGTCCATTTTTTTGTTTTTGATTAGTTAAACCGCTTCATAACCTTAAAGTCTTTCGGTAATTTTCTTAGAATTTACCCAAAATACTTCAAAATTTTAAAGTAAAGTGGAAAAAACCTATTCACAATAATCTATTTCAACAGATCAATATCTTGTAACCCTATCCCCCCCCTTAATGTACAAGTAATAATTATGTATAGTTTCTGTAGGAACGAAAATTAATTTTTCCTTAAAAGTTGATTAATTGTACTTCTTTTTTTTTAAAAAAATAAATAATATTTCCTAAATTACGTTTGAAACTTGAATGGTATTATTGAATATTGGACAATATGAAGTTAAACTGTCCGTTAATAAACAAAGATAAATAGTGGTTAGTAGTGTAATCTAGAACGTGCGTTTCATCTTATTTGGGACTCGTCAGAGTTGATGTTCACCCCGGGACTCGAACTTAAACACCACCGCATTATCCACTTATCTCTACTGAATCCTGATAGCTACCTGTTTATGTAATGGGGTGAAATTTTAAATTCACTTGATGTTGTTAACTTGTATCTTTCTATTGCTATTTAGGATTGCAATTAATCAGTCTCTGATTGGCAACACGCGTACTGGATTCCATTGTTAACCATTAATAATCGTTGTTTATAAAGCTTGTGAATTAAGGCAATATTTAGGCAGTCCGCACAGGATACACATATGAGAGACTAATCAATTGCAATTCTAAATAACAATGGGAAGATACAAGTAAACAGCATCAAGTGAATTTATCCGTTAACAACATTATAATGTAGATATAACACATTATCGTATTATTATTATTCGTTCTTAATGTTAGAATATTTATTATTTCAGATGAAGAAATGTAATTCAAAAAAAGATAACAATGTTCTCTAGAATTTCTAAAAGCGGTATCTATAAACGATTTTAAGCTTATATCGTATAGGCAGATGGTCAATGAATTGATAACTAATACAATAAGTTGTTCTTAGGACTAAAGTGAATTAATACCAATAAAGTCTATACACGATTAGTTGAAAGTTACATTTGTCCGCATGGAGCCCCTCTGGGGCTACTGCCGGTCCCAAACCCGGATAAAGGAGGAGGGTTGGACATGCGGTTAGCAACCCCATCCCGTAGAAAACTAACTCGCTAAAAGAGCGCTAACCAGGAAGTAAGTAACGATTAACGAAAATGTCTCATTGCACAGTTTACATTTTACGCATAAATCAAATTGAAAATATAACTATACAAAGTTATTATATTTTGATTAGATACATACACAAATCGGTACAAGTATATATATATATTTTTTCATTATTCAAAATAAATATTACACTTTTTTGCAATTAATCACTCACTTTTGATCGTCCGACCATTCCAGATGACGAAGATGATGATAATGCATCTGCAGATAATTGATGTTGACCAAATCCTGTTAAATTTGTTCCACCATGCCCGCTTGGTAAATGTCCGATAAAATTTTGTGAATTATTATTAGTATTATTATTAAAATTGCCTGATAACCCAGATGGATGATTTGTATAAGGTGAACCAAGATGTGGTGGTCTAAGTTCACTACCACCTCCAAACCCCGATGGATTTGAATACAATCCAGGATAGTTTGAATGATTACCATGATGTGGATGGAGTTGCTGTTGATGGTGATTATGATGTAATTGTTGTTGTTGTGCGTAATAACTTGAAGAGTCTGAAAAACCAGACATTGGGGAATTATGCGGATTAGGATTATATCGTGGATCACCACCACTACCACCACCTCCAAACATTGAATGGAATGCATTACTGGATCCAGCAGGTAAATTCGAACATGGATACATACCGCCCAATCCTAATAATCCACCCATTTGTGTTACAGACGATGCTGCAGCAGCGGCAGCAACTGCCGCGTAGGCAGCTGCTGGATCGCCATGAAATCCTGAATGATGCTGATGATTATTATTATTATTATTTGCAAAATTTCCAATATTTGGATGAGATAAATTATGTTGCATATTCAATCCTCCATTTGAATCATCAATTAAATTATTAAACAGATTCGTTGTTGGTGTTGTTGTTGTAGAATGACCACTGGGAAGATTTCCATGTTGTAACCCTAACGATGGATTTGAATTAATTATTGATTGATTCATTGAACAATTAACAGGTTGTGGACTATTACCTGAACCAGTTGATCCAGCAGAATCTCTATCTTCAATTACTAAATCAATCGGCATTTTACCTCGTAAACATGTTATATAACGAGAACAGAAGTTATCACAGAGTTCATGAACCTATATTAAATTGAGTAATAATTAAAGATATATACATATTATATAAATATATATATTTATATATATATGAAGAACACATTAGAACGTAAATCTAAAATTTATAAATAATACTTGTTTATGATAAAAATACTTTATCATCTATTATTGATTTATTTATTCATACAACCCAATCATACTTGATGAAGAAACGCTGGAAGAGGTGGAATCTTTCATGTACCTGGGAAGCGTCATCGATAAATAAGGAGGATCCTATGCAGACGTAAAGCCAGGAATTGGCAAAGTAAAAGCAGCATTCATACAGTTGAAGAATATATGGAACACAAAACAACTTTCTGTCAACCAACACCCAAGTCGAAATCTTCAATATGAACGTTAAGTGCACGGAGCTGAAACTTAGAAAACTACTAGAACTATCATCAGCAAAATACAAGTATCTATAAACTGTTGTCTATGTATGCTACTGAATGTCTGTTGGTCGGATATCATCAACAATAGCCTATTACGACAGAGAACAAATCAGGTCCCATCTGAAGAGGAAATCGCGAAAAAACGTTGGAAGTGGATAGGGCATACATTACGGAAATCATCAAATTGCATCACGAGTCAAACTCTAACTTGGAATCCTGAAGGGAAACGAAAAAGAGGAAGACCAAAGAACACACTGTGTCGAGAACTGGAAGGAGACATGAAAATGATAAATATAACTGGAACCAACCGGAAAGGATTGCCCAGGACATAGTTGGATAGAGAATGGTGGAGGGCGATATATGTTCTTCCGCGAGGGGGTGACAGGTGTAAGTAACAAGTAGTATATCATATAAAGTATATAGGATTTGCGGGGGTTGTTGAATTTCATAGTTTTCATCACAGATTGAACATGATGGTGGGTCTATAATTTGTGTACGATATTTGAGCGATGGTTAAGTGAATTTGAGAATGTCCAATTACTTGCTACGGCTAAATAAGAGCTATAAATTAGTGTGAGGAATTAAGATTAAGATTTACAATCGGACGTCAGGGTTAGGACTTAGAGTTTGGGTTTTCATTACAATAATGGAATCCACGTCATGCATTTAATTCTATTCGGGACTTGTCAGGTGAATGTACCTGAATTTCAGTGATAAACATGAGTGTAAACAAAACGATCCTCCTTGAGTTTTCTGCTAACCACAGATCACGTATTACTAAAAACCTGCTACTTAACGTTATACTGAAGCGATTTTCTAAGGATGCCAATTTAACAACAGAGATCGATCAATTACAGTCCTGAATATTAATAATAGTAAGGTACGAACCATTACTGAAATAAACAGTGTGCTTTGTGATGATTTACTTCAATTCAAAACTTACTTTCATCACATATCAATATTGGCTGGGGGGACTACTGAAAATCGGTAAACATTGAACAGTTGTTTTGTCCTATTTTTCTGGGTCACTACTGTTTAACAGTGGATGATCACAACACTACACGTGGTGAAATGTAGGGTAGTGTTTTTAAACGTGTCTTAGAGAATTCGATACTTACTTCAGTGACTTTGGAACATAATTTAAGGATCATGCAATTTTCTCTCTCTTGGTAATTAATATTATTATGGTATATGTTTATGTATTCAACTTAGATCTTGACTGATTGTATGCATGGTCTAGCAACACGAAAATCAGTCTAAATCAAACTAAGTGAAATAGGATTTGATTGTATAACATACTGGTCGAAAGTCAATCAGATGCTACAACTTCTATAAAGCTACTATTTAACTTTTGGTTCATAATGTAAAGTTCGCAAAAGATGATATCATCTCACAATAATGGATGATGATATAATTTAAAGTCAATTATTAACTGATCAGAACTGATCATAGGATATCGTATTTCTATACAATGATTTTACAACTGAGTAAAATGAAAATATCAATCAGTCTTGAGTATGAAGGCAGATTTCACTTCCCGGCAATTAACACCGTAAAAGGGTTCCTCTAGAGGTACTCGAAAAGGAAATTGTGTTAGAGTTCATCTTAGTGACCTGACAGTGTGACTGCAGTATCAGTGCTTGAGGACAGTCACATACAACCTTTGGTAATTTTCGTGTTAGCTCCGTACTTGTTGGGACCTTACCTCCGCAGACGGAAATCCGTAAGATAAGATGAGGTGTGCAATTTTTGGGGTCGACTTTTTCTAACCACATACATCCTTGTGGGAAGGCAGCATCGCTTTTATGCTGATTATCTGAAGGAAGCACCTTACTGCCATCACATCTCTGTACAATCAGCAGTAAGAGTTCTTCCTCGAACTTTGTGTTCACTGATTTTAGTCTTACCGCTCTTCAACCAACCTATCTGGCATGGTAGGACCTTGAGGAACGATTGTTCTAGCCAGTATAGCTCGATTAATTCATCACGATAGAAAAGTCTAACCATCACATCAAGGGATGCAGTAACGGTCAAGAATGAAAATATACAGAGATCAAAGATAAAATGTCAAATAAACAAATAGCATTGTAATTAGATAGACTAAATCAATCAATTAACAAATAAATAAATCACACCACACATATCACTTACTTTTTCTATTTCAAGAAGATGAAATCGGAGAACTTGAATAGCTTGGATTATCTAAATGTTGTTTTAAAGCCAAAAAAGAAAAGATGATGAAAAATAAGTATGCATGTGTTGGGTGGATGGGTGGTTGTTGGGATGGTTGACTGATTATGGTAGAATATTAAACAATTAATTTTACAAAATAAATTTCATTCAGAATATTTGTGCATATGTGTGTGTATGTGTACATTTCACACACTTGAATGTGTGATAATCATGACAGGAATAACAACAATCTAATATACAAAACATAGAAAGAAAGAAAAAAGGTAAACGTCTAACTGAGGAGAAAAATATGATATATGAGGTTGTTGTTGTTGTAGAAACATTCTTAGATCATATTACTTAGATGTGAGTATAAAAAATAACGAGATATGCCAGAATTGATTTGTGTTTTTTTTGTTGCTTTTTTCTCTCGAATAGGTGTAATCAGAATGAAAATTTATTGGAATTAATTAACCTATGCCAAATATGTGTATGTGTGCACGTATGTATGCGTGTATGTGTACGTATGTATAATATACATACACAAGCACACATACTCCCTCTCCCCCTCTTTAAATATCAGTTAACAACACATACATAATTTTACAAATACATATAGTTGCAAAAAGAAAAAAACGGTTATCTTGTCCTTTTTTCTATGCAAAAATCAAAAAAAATTTTGAAATGAATTTACAAATTCATTATTTGTAACTTTTTTTTTGTTCTTCAAGGGAAATAAAGTGTAGATATTTAATAACATGGCGCCAATATGAGAAAACGTGATCGATTATATCTATATGGATGTCTAGTTTAGATTTGTATTATTTATAGTCTAGTGCTTCAAGGTTTACAATGGTGGTCTAGCTTAAATCGATTCATGAATTCAACTATTAAAACTAAAGAAACGAGTAACTCTGAGTAGTCTTATTCCAAGAAGAATTAACCATTCAGGAGTCTAAAAGGTATACATAAACAAAATAAATGATAATTGGATATCATGTCTCTCAGTATGTCCCATTATCAGGCATAAACCAGCAAGAATCCCAGCCATAATAGGGTCAAACATTGCAATTTCATCCTTTTATTTGTAACTCACGATGACATTTCGATAGTTAAAGTGAATGCTACTTCGTCTAGAACTAATTTCAAATGAAATATACCAGTATTGATCTAGAAAAATATTAAAATTTGTAGTCCAGTATGATAACTATCCACTGCCACAGATGACAGTTATTATAACAGCGAGATGCTCGGAATCAATCAGTTACGACTTTTCAGTAGGGTTCAGAGAATACCTTGGAATTACTAGTAGATTGACTATCATAGTTTAGTTGAACGGAGTTTGACGGAGATCTGGTTTGATTTACAGGGTTCCCGATTAGACTGACCTCAACCAGGGTATGAGTGAAGACCGAGAAACATTAGATGTTTTTTTGCCCTAGTTTCAACCTCCTCGATAATGTTCAACTACAAGCGCGCCAGAGTTCGAACACAGGATTTTCAGACCGTCCTGAGAACGTCCAACCCTCAGAATCACTGGATTTACGTACACTGATACATCTCAATAGAAATATACAAAAAGCAGATTGGCAACAGATGCGAAAAAAGTTAACTTACCAAAGAATCTAACTCGGGATCACCAGTGCGAATAGTTTTTTGGGAATTAACTAACTATAAGACAAAAAATACAGAAAAAGCGAAACAATCAGACACCATTGATTAGAGGCTGAATTTTTTATTCAATCTTAATCTAAATGGGGTATTTTTATGAAAGGCATTGTTGTATAAACAAACATTTTTACATTCAATTAGTTAGAGATTTAAAGAGCAGTACAGGACAATCATTCTAAATTAGTTACGTGGTTAGATGCTTAAAGAGAGAGAGAGAGAGCTTTCAGTTGTCTATTTACATCTTTCAGTGCGTACCGCCATCTGAACCATCTTCTTGTCTAGTCTCTAAGTATTTTGCCAATGTTATACTTTCGCTGACTGAAACCTCTCACTTTGTCGAAAAATTCGAGACCGCCTTCCAAAACATACTACTTTCAAGCAATCATATGAGTAGCGTCCATCACATTAGTGCTACAAAAAAGGAGAGAAGTTTCCTTTACGTAGTATATGTGCAGCTAAACTATTCTCTTCATTTGCCTTATCTCTTCTTGCTTTGTCATTGAGGTATTACTCTATTCCACCTTTTTATCAATGTTATTTATATGAAACAGATGTGGACCAATTTTTAAATCAGAATTGCTATCTTATATACATTTTTATTTGTCCTATTTCTTGCTCTCACTCCTTTTCTCTCTCTCTCTCTCTCTCTCTATCTCACACACACACACATACACACTATCTCTCTCCTGTTGATGCTGCTAACAAATTTTAAAGGAAATTCAAATGAGCGGTTCGTATGTATTTATGTGTGACCGTGTTTATGTGGGCACTTGGTTCAACGTATCTATTCGTAACATACATAAAGGGATAAAAAACTTAGTAAATAGTTGATTATCCATATGCTCAGAATATATATATATATCCCACGTTCATAAGAATACATCGAAGGAAATTGATACTTTAAATTTTACAGGCGTAATAATAAAAAAGGTGTTCTGTGTTATTTTTTTTTACCATTTTGGTCGTACACTAATAAAATATGGGCCCAGTTATAGACTGTACCAGATAGTGGACTATTTAAAAAAATGAGGGTTCAAATAATCGTTTTATGTGTGCTTGTATGTACCAGTAATTTCAGTGTTAAGTAGTATATATATATCGTGAGACAGAGTGATGAGTGAGACTGTTATAAGACCACGACCTATGTCATAGATATTTTCACTTCAAGTTATTATAATGGAACACAACACCTTGCATAATAATGAAAGATGATCACAGTTGAATGTCATTTTTTTAAAAAAAAGCAGATAACTGTTACAATTATGAATTAGAGTTATTTAATATTAAGAACATTGATACAATTCATATATGTAGACTAAACAAACCAATTAAATACTAAGTCATAAAGTACCATCTCAAGATTACATATACACCTGGCTGGTAAGTGACAAATAGAATGAATCTTGGGTCCATCGTTTTCTATCAACTACCGTCATACATCTCAGCATCATGCACCCGATGTTAATTCACTTGAATTGGTGACTAAATCCCAATTTTGAACAATTGAATTCCATTACCATGATGAAGGATTTGATATGTATGACATTACACACTATTCACTAATATTTCTTTAGGGATTCACATTTGTATCATCATAGTTTATCACAGAGGTATTTACAAATATTGACTAATCGTCTCATCGATTAAGTTATGAGTACACTAATGGATCATTATTATTCATAAACATTGTATATATCAATGATAATAATCTGTTTGTTTATTTTTAAGTATTATCAACAGTTCATCATCAAATCAATAAATTTTAACCCAATGAAAATCATTATACAATAAGTATATGTAAAAAGAAAGAAAATAATAATGGATAGTGATATCAACTAGAATATCTTCTTTTTTTCGGAACACAACAACGTAATAATGACAGATCACCGAAAAAGAAAAGAAAAGAAAACAAAATAGAACAGATGTCAACTTTACAGTTTCCCTCTCTTCCTCTCTGTTTCTTACCGATAGCTCTAAGAGATAAGTGAACGGATATATTTCTGTGATTACCATATGAACAAATGCATATAAATATATATATCAGTGTGTTGAGTTTGTGTGAGTGTACAATGTATACAGTTGTGTATACATAAAGCAAAATAATCATTAATTAATTAAGTCATATTAACTACTAACTGAAATAATTGATAAACTGAACCCTAGAAATTGAAACAGTCTCTTCAATTAAAGTTAAAATCCGTTTGTTTGTTTTTGTGTGTGTATGGACATATGTATATATGTATACGAGTAAATAAAAGTAATAAGTTGAATGATAAATGGAAAATAAGGAAACAAACATGGTAACAAGGTTCATTTACTTCATAAAATGATTGAGTATTTAATATCAGTTGTACATCAAGAATTGACTTTTATTAGACAACTATTACATATTCTTAAAGATTACATAACAATTTTGTCCTAATATATAGATTCATCAGTATAGTGTATATATATCTCTAAAGTTAGTTTGTGATGTACAATTATAAATTTCAATACCCCCCCCCCAACGTATTAAAGAATGGAATCAAATTGAGAATGTATTCATTAAAAGTTCTTGTCCTATCAACCATCGTCCTTAGGCAAAAAAAAAAACACAGCTTGGATTCTAGTAAACTAATAAACAGGAAACGTTAACAATACATTTTTAAAGATACCAAGTAGTAATACCTGGAATATTCAACAGAATAATGAATAAATTTGTTAATTATTAACCATGAACTTACTTCTTTCGCAAATACAATAATATCTTCATTAAACGATTCAGATGACCATACTTCCATATTACCTGTGTTTGTATTACCGGAAGCTGAAGCAGCAGCAGCAGCTGACATTGGATCTCGTGGTGTACATGTGGCTAATTCACATTTTTCAAAGATTAATGCCAGTAATGGAAATAATGGATGTCTAATAAAGAAATGAATAAACAATAAATTATAAGTTGATGGTTTTTTTCTTCAATTTGAATAGTTAAGAAATACTACTTAAATAAGGAGAGAAAAAATCGAATAATTTCAAAACCTATTATGATTTATGGAATGATCTACTTATCATTGAATAATTGGTTCCGTCAATATTCATTTAAGATAGACAAATAGAGTGTATATATGTGTGCATGTGTGTGTGTGTGTGAATCACTTCATAGTTCAAGTAAACATAACTATCTAGTTGGTTTTCACTTTGAAATTGTTTTTCTAAATAAATAAATATCTATGTCATTCTAGATGAAAATCTATAACAAAATACACCGTCACATTCACTCATTTCTAATATAAATGATAAATCATAACTATTTCATAATGATGAGCATATTTTATTACTAGACACTCATGTAAACATACGTACTCACCTACCCATACGTATATATATATATATCTCTATCTATGTGTATATATATGTGTGTGCTTGTGTGTGTGTGTAAACAATTACCTAAACAACTTACACACAATATCTATTCACTTTACCCAAAAACGATATACAATAAACAAAGATGAATTGATTTAAAAGTTAATTGTATTTTATTTTTCGTCGACAACACAAATAACAAATATTGTTAAGTGTAAGAAAGAAAAAAAAGAGCGCCATAAAACTTTTAGATAATTAAAAACAACACACATACACACATAAATATCATTGTAACTTTGAAAAATAAAATAAAATATTATGCAATAGGTTATGTGTTTGTAAATTTGTAATTTATCCGTTGCTCAATCGTTAATATATTTAAAAGTTAAGCGCTTGCGCGCGAAACTGATAGTTTCTGAACTCGAATCTCGTGTGGGGGGGACGGAGCTGTGGATGCACACTGCTGAGAAGTCCCATACTAGGACGAAACAGCCGTCCAGTGCTTTCAGGTTTTCTATAGTGGTTTAGCTTTAATTGACTTATGATTTCAACAATTGAAACCATTAATATATCTGTTGAATCAAGTAATTACATACACTTTTTCCATACATTCAGTTGATGAGTACTTCACATAAGAGTATAGATTACATTGAATATTTCATTCCTATCTTTAATCTTCATATCCGATAAGTTGAAGTGTACTATAATGGTGTGTTCATAGAAGATAATCTGTAGATAATTTTAAATGATTCGAATGAAATGCTCAATGAGCATTATAATGTGATATACAGAGTAATACTCGAAAATGCAAGATATTTCACATTTATGAAGAAAGAATGGTCAATCTCACACACATAAGTGAATACATATATATCATTCAACTGAGTGTGTACGATATCTAATTTAAAGGATAAGACTTAAATTGTTTGCTATTTATAGTCGGTAAATATTTAATTTAGGTTAATAAATATAAACTGATTAATTGTTTTTACAGTTTTATCCAGTATACGTAGATGACAAAATGAATATTAAATCGAATCATTTTTAACATTTGATCATGCTATTTTATGTTAATCATCATTGATCTAGAAGTAAAGCGTTCACATGTGAAACCGAAGTTCCTGGGCTAGAATCCAAAGTGTGGGATCATGGATGCGAACAGTTAAGGTGACTTGTAGTGTCAGTTATTATGTTAAGCCCATATACTTTATTCTAACTTTCGGACAGTCCAATCTATTCATTCTACTTGAGTCATATTTTGACCTTGTTAATTATTCGCTTATCAGTCTTGACTGTTTTCATATGAGCGTATATGTGTGTACACTTCATATCCCATGTCTCATCACATGTCTGTAGTTTATTTTGTCTGCCTATAAATATTGAGTAACGCCTGGCTAAAAATGAGTTGGCTTACCAGCCATCTCCACTGCGCGGCATTTTGCTTTGTTCTATTACATTCCCTTTGCATACAAAATATATGTATTCAAAAGCCATTCATGTTAATTGACCTGTCTAAATTCCATTATTGACTAACGTGATTTAAGTCGATGATTGTATACGAGGATAGGTGATAACAAACAATCATACAGTCTAAATGGAGTCAGATCCACGGGCAACTAAAGACTCATACTAGGATGAGATGGCTGTTCAGTGCTTTCAGGTTTCCAATGGTGGTCATGATCTCAATCAAAGCAAAATATGTTAACTATGTTTTCAAAAGTAATTTACATGAATAAATGATTATCAAAATTTAAAGGTTGGAAATGCGTATTACCGTAGCTGCCCACAGTTTAATGGTAATATTTTGCTGATATCAATTTGTAATTAATGTTTACTGATTATTGAATGGTAACAATGAATTCATTTTCTTTGTTTTAAAGACGAATTTACTAAATTACACACACTAGTAATATAAAGTTATGCTTAAAAGGTATAATGTATCCGGTTACTTATAGATCTTAATCTGTATAGAATGGGAGTAGAGATATATATTCCTCGAAAAAGTGATATTAATATACTTTACTTTCAGTCATTCATTTTGCTTATTTGAACCGACAGAACCATTATAATACTATTTATCTACATAAATCAAACAAGGTGGAATGAGATTCGAACACTTGAGCTTATGGTTGTAAGTCAACGAAATTCATAGCTCTTATTGTATAAAATTATGACAATTTCATTAAATGGTTCAGTTGGGCTATTAGTCTACACTATTCAGATTTACTTTCCAATATAAATACCACGGTTACAGATGTACATTAAGGAGCTGTTCCATACAAGAACTCAAGATATGTCCATTCCTTTCAGGTTTTCGAAGATAATGAGCTTGAGTGCTTTTCATGATGGATGTCATCAACACTATCTAATTTTATTATTTTTGCAAGAAAATACATATACATAAATCTGTTAGTCACTCCATACTTAGTAAACATATAAATAGCAACAGTCATCAACAGACTGACTACTAATGGATAGTAAACATTACAATTAACTACTCTACTTAAACAAATATCATTGAATTATTCTATTTTTTATCAGTATGGGGGTTGTGGAGATTGTTAATTTTCTAATTTGGATCATGAACTGATTGAAAATCTGAAAGCACTGAATGGCCGTTTCGTCCTATTGTGGGACTTCTCAGCAGTGCGCATCCACAATCCCGTTCGCGAGATTCAAACCCAGAGCTTCAGTCTCGCGCGCGAACGTTTGAACTAATGGATCATTGAGCTGGCATCCAATGGTGTTAATGTCCAACCTCAACCAATCCATGAAATTTCGCAGCCTCTCATTAAAAATTCAGTATTCGATCATCAATGTGTACATATTTATTTGATTCCGTTGTATATTCATTAATTAAACAGTCAACTAACTAATTAACTGACTGTTTATTCACTTAATTGTATGAATAATTAAATAATTACATTTTTCTCATTCTCCCTATATTTTGAATGAATCGATATGTCAAATGAAAATACCACCATCACCATCATCATTAATTTGAATTAGCGTCATCAATATCAACTCTGAATGTGACAGGCTACACGTCATAGTGATATATGTGAGAGAGAGAGAGAGAGGCAGAAGGAGAGGGAGAAAGAATGATCAGTCAACTAAATAGATGAATAATTTCTAGGTGAATAATAATAATAATAACTTACCGGTGTAATCAAATTGAATATTGTTATGCATATGTTAGGTATATGTTTTATATCTTTGATATTGTACACTTATTGTTTATGTAATAACTAGTTATATTGATTAGACTAGTCAAATCGAGGTGTAATATGTATATGTAATGGGATTTTAATTTATTACTGTATATTTATTAGTTGAATGTTTAATTCACACTTTAACTATTCATCTATCACTTATAATAATTTATGGAACTTATTTATTCCGATTATGTTGATATACAGTTTGTTCATTTAAACCATTGTAAACGTCTACTTGTATATACATGTCATTATTAATGACTGACTTAATTAGGATTATCAGTATGAAGATTTATAAAGATATTAGCAGGTGTATTCACGAGTCAATCTAAATTAGATCATCATTGAATATCTGAATGCATTGGATGGCCGTTTCGTCTGAGTAATGTGCATCCACAGTTCTGAACTACTGAGGAGTGGCCCGAGATCGGACTCCAGTTAGATCGAATGAAATATACATATCGCCAATTCTCGTACATAATCATAGACTTAAACCGTGTTGTTGAATAACGGAATTAAATAAGTCAAGTACGAGAATGGATCTCGAATATGTATAATTTATACAATCGTTGATTGAAACAGACAATCAGAGAATTGCAGCGAGTTGAGCGAAACAAAAGGGCGCGCAATGGAGAAGGCGTGTGAACCAACTCAATTCAATCAAGCGTGAATCAGTAGTTATAGGCACATAAAAATAGGTTACAAACATGTGATAAATAGGATAAGAAGTGCATATACATACTCTTATTTATATAAAAACACTCAAGGTTGATAAGTGAATAATTAATAAGGTTAAAACGTGGCTCAAGTAGAATGGATAAATTGGCCTGTCCAACAGTTAAAATAAGTTATATGAGCTTAACATAGTAACCGACACTACACCACATTTGAACGAACAGGCCATCCACTGCTACCAAATGTTCAATGGTGGTCTACCTTAAATTGACTCGTGAATTCAACTGCTAATTAAGATGAAAAAATACGCCAATATGATGGTTGTATGTTATTCTTTTACCATAAATGAAATGATATCTAAAACAATTCGATTTTCCCTCTCTAACCTACTCAGTATATAGTGTAAAATAATCATTTATAAATTAACTGATAAGATTTGAGATTGTGCCACTTCAATACAGATGAGAAATACAATCATCCATAACATTCTGGTATTATAAGTAATATTAATGTATGATAATAAACTCTAATGTTCATTTCAAACCCTTAATCATGATCTTAATTTGTCACACTACTTTGTAATCCTTTTCATTGGTTGAAGTTTTCCAAGAGCACTTTATTATCACTTAAATATCATTGACATATTGCTATAGTTACTACTGATGATGCCAC